CCTGCCTGGCCCCGGTGGCATCGGGAGGTTAGGGGTCTCGGGCGGCCGGGGTGAGATTTCCGAGCGGAGTCTCGCGGGGCGCAATGCTAAGGACTGGGACCACCTACCCGCAGTATGTGTTTCTCTAATCTTGTTTCTTTTATCGATTACGTGTTGCAGTACTATTTTGACTCTATTAGGGTCAGTAAATTTTTATTATTAAAATTAACTTCATCCATTTTCTTTTTGCTTTTCAATGTGTTTGCCAGAAACTAAAATTACTGTATGGCTTGCATTTTATTCTCACTGCGCCGCGTCATTCAAAATGGTCGAGATCCATTAGGATGCAAAGCTAATTCTCTGCTGTCACAGCTTACGTTTGACAAAGGCAGAGTGAAAAACGACTGTAAAGCCGCGTGTGGTGGCGCTTGCCTGTTCTCCCTTCACGCAGGAGGCTGAGGCAGGACGATTGTGAGTTTGAGGCCAGTCTAGAGGGTAAAGCAAGACCCCGTCTCAGAAACAAGAACTGGGGGAGTAGCTAAGGCGCAGAGTGATAAAAGCTGACCTGGGCGGGCTGCGTATTTGTGTTTCTGTCTGATGGCACTGGAGCTCTGGAGAGAGATAAAGAGCCCTGACATTTGGAGAAGACTCTGAGGAAGCTTTGGGCGTGGAGTGGAGGCCTGGTCGTGGCTCAGCCTTCCTTATTCAGAGCTCAGCTCTGATTTCTGCTCCTCACGTTGCCAGCAGCTGAGTCTCTCCCTCTCGGCTTGCACAACCGCTGTTTAAAAACCCAGGCTGTCGCTGCAGTGGGGTGTGCTCTGCCGTCTCCCCGCGGTTGGGAAGACATAGAGGACCAGGGGCGCGGCTCACTGGCTGTGCCTTCTGCTTTCCAGAAGAGCTCACAGCTCCTTTGCCTGCTGCCTGGCGCCTGGAGGGGTAGAGAATAAAGGGTGAGGAGCAAATGTGCTGCATCACCTGGTCTGGAGGACAGCATTCTCTGTGCCCTGTTTTATTTTTTTATTTTTTGAAGACCAGGTGTCTGTACGCAGCTCCTGTGCAGCAGAGCCAGCAGGTACCTGAGCAGGTGCAGGCTGAGGACGATCACGGAATCTAACCAAGGGCAGGTGCGGTGCCACTGAGCTAAATCCCCGGCTCTCTGCTACCACTTCTATGCTGAGTGTTTGTGAAAGTGATTTTGTGATATATAATGATTGATTGATTGATTGATTTAGAGACAGGGTCTCACTATATAGTCCAGGCTGGCCTCAAACTCATGGTGATCCTCCTGCCTCAGCTTCCCAAGTGCTGGGCTCACAGGCATGCACTGCTGCGCCCAGCTCCCATTGTGAGTTTAAAAGGGAGAATTACAGTGGGACCAGACTTGTCATGTGATGGGAAAACGGGGCAGGCCTGGGTTCTGGTCTTGCCCTCTGTGCACTCAACACACACAGCTGTGGGCGGCAGGTGAGGAATAAGGGCGCCCCGATGACGGGGTGCTGTGCGGTTCAGACCGTGCTGCTGTACAGGGTCACCCGCTCCCAGCGGCCCTGGCCCCTCTGCAGCAGCACAGGTGTTTCTCTGCTGTGGTGTTGCCAAGCCTGTGATGGACGCTGCTTTTTCAGTGGCTCTCAGGTGCCTCATTAAGTTACAGACTTACTCACTGATGTGTGTGATCCAGCAAAGCTCCAGCCACTGCCCTTTAGTGCCTTTACATATTTTTCTGCAGTACTGGAGGTGGAACCTGGGGAGTGCCAAACTGGATCCATCTCCCTTTTTAAAAATTTTATTTTGAGGTAGGATCTCACTGAGTTGCTTGGGCTGGCTTCGAACTTGCAATCTTCTTGCCTCAGCCTCCTGAGATGCTGGGATCACAGGCCTATGCCACTGCACCCTGCTGACCCCTTGAGGGTCATGTGAAGTTAACCGAGTCAACATTCTTACGCATTTTCTTAAAAACAGGGTTGAAAAATACAGGCCAATAAAGCTGAATGAAATTGTCGGAAATGAAGACACTGTGAGCAGGCTGGAGGTGAGTGACTTTTATTTGCTTACTGCAGTACTGGAGATTGAACCCAGGGCCTTCACACTGAGTTACATTCTTAGCCTTTTAAAAATTTTTATTTTGAGACAGGGTCTTGGCAAGTCGCTAATTTGCCCAGGTTGGGCTCAAACTTGAGCCTCCCCGGGGGCTGGGATTGCAGGTGTGCTTGGCTACTGGGTGATCTTAGTACAGATTCTAATCCAGTAGTTCTGCTATGGGGCCGGAGAATCTGCATTTCTTATAGACTTTGTAGTGTGGGTGATGCTGCTGTTCCTTGGGGTCCTCTCCTCTGAGTAACAGGTTGTGGGGTCTGTGGATTGAGATGTCATAAGAAATGGGCAGGATCCAGCTGGGTGTGGTGATGTGCATCTGTTATCCCAACTAGTTGGGAGACTGAAGTAGGAAGATTTTAAGTTCCAGGCCAGGCTGGGCAGCTTAGCAAAACCTCCTTGAAATAAAAACGGAAAAAGGGCTGGGGATGTAGCCCACGGTGAGCACTTGCGTGGCGGGCCCTAGGTGCTGGCTTCCATACCCAGCGCCCCTCTCAGTTTAATTTGGTCTTCACAGTGAGAGCAGAAGCCTCGGGGGTGCTTTAGAGACACAGACTGAGTGGGCCCACATCGGAGGCCGGGAGAGCAGCCCTCCAGGAAAGTGGGGTGAGGGTGGGAGAAAGAGGACTTGGAGGCTGAGCAGAAGAACAGCTTAGCCTGTGTGCTTGAAGGCTGAGGGAGGAGCTGGGCGACAAGGAGCAGAGCACTGCAGGCTCTTGGCATGGGCAGCCGGGGCACAGGTATCCTCTGCGCTTGGATGGGAACCCTGGGCGGCTCAGGTTTGCCCTGAGAGCACGGAGCTCAATGTTGTGTGTGACACGCAGCTCCCGGGGCCTACAGATTGGCCACGTTCGGATTGTTCTTTTTCTGCACTTTTATTTATTTATTTATTTATTTAATTTATTTAATTGAGTTTATTGGTACATTCTAGGTATACAGTACAGTTATATTCATTACTGGGATCTTGTACCTTTACATGACAGGTCTTGGTTCTCATTTAAATTTTACTTATTTATTTATTTTTGGTACCAGGAATCGAACTTGGGACCTTGCGCTTGCGAGGCAGGTGGTTGAACCACTGAGCTAAATCCCTGGCTGGATTTTTCTTTTTGTGTTGCTGAGATTGAACCCAGAGCCTTTGCACTGAGCTGCATCCCCAGCCTATGTTTTATTTTGAGATAGTGTCTCGATAAGTTGCCTAGGCTGGGTTCGAACTTGGGGGTCCTACTTCCTCGTCCTCCCAAGTAAGTTGGATAACAGGCATGCATTACCCGGCCCACCTCTAATCAGGCTTTTAATTTTTTTTGGTACTGTGGATCCAACTTGGGACCTTGCGCTTATGAGGCAGGTGGCGGAACCACTGAGCTAAATCCCCAGCCCAGGTTTTAAAATTTTGTTTGTTTGGTTTGTTTATTTATTGAGACAGGGACCTGTTTAGTTGCTCAGGCTGGTCTCAAACTTGTGAACCTTCTTTTCTTTTTCTTTCTTTCTTTTTTTTTTTTTGAGATAAAATCTTGCTGTGTAGCCCAGGCTGGCCTAGAACTTGTGCTAATCCTCCTTCCTCAGCCTCCAGCATACTGGGACTATAGGCACATGCCACCACGCCCAGCTTCTAACCAGATTTATCGATTGCCAAGGTCTTACTCTATAATTCAGGTTCACCTGGAACTCCCTATGTAGCCCAGACTGGCCTCAAACCCATGGCGGTCCTCCTGCCTCAGCCTCCCATGTAGTGGGATTACAGGCGTGCGCCACCACGCCTGGCTTAATCAGTTTTTATGATGTCTTTTCCTCAGGTCTTTGCAAGAGAAGGGAATGTGCCCAATATCATCATTGCTGTGAGTACAGCCCTGGCCACCTCAGCATCTCATTTCTCCGCCTGGCGCAGTGTTTATTCCTCTGGTCCTGTGCTTCCTGTCCCATCAGTGGGGAGCCTGGGCTTGCTTGCTGTATGCTTGCTGTACTGATGTGGGTGTGGTGGGGGGCAGCAGTTGCACCCCAGGTCCTCCTGGGGGCGCCAGCACTCATTGGAACCTGTCCCCAGGGGCCCCCTGGCACCGGCAAGACTACCAGCATCCTGTGCCTGGCACGAGCCCTGCTGGGCCCCGCACTGAAGGACGCGGTTCTGGAGCTCAATGCATCCAATGACAGGTGCGTCTGGGAGGGCCCAGGGCCGACGGGGGAAGTGCTTGCTGGTTTCCCTTTTGATGGAAGAATGTAAGAATTTTGGCAGAGAGCCGGGCCTAGTGGTGCACGCCAGAAGTCTGGGAGGCTGAGGCAGAGGGATCATGAGTTCTAGGCCAACTTGGGTAATTTAGCTAGACCTTGACTCAAAATAAAGAATAGTAGGCCTAGTCGGGCGTGGTGGCGCATGCCTGTAATCCCAGCACTCGGGAGGCGGAGGCAGGAGGATCACTGTGAGTTCGAGACCAGCCTGGGCTACATAGTGAGTTCCAGGTTGGTCTCAACTACATAGTGAGACCTGTCTCAAAAAAAAAAAAAAAAAAAAAAAAAAAAAAGAATAATAGGCCTAGGGCTGGAGGTCAGTGTAAAGACTATGGGTTGAATACCCAGGACTGGGAAAAAGTGGTAGAATACAAGTAATATAAAAAAAAGTTCCATCTTGAACTTAGGATCCTTCTGCTTCAGCCTCCCACAATGCAGGGGTTACAGGTGTACACAAATTCCGGCCCAGCCTGGGCAATTTAGGGACTTAGCAAGACCCTGCCTCAAAGTGAAAAAGGATGGGCATGTTGCTTTGCACAAGGGCCCGGTCCCCCCAGATTGAACCCCTCTCCAACGGTGACAGTCTGGTTCCGGCCTGTTTCAGGGGCATCGATGTTGTACGGAATAAAATCAAAATGTTCGCCCAGCAGAAGGTGACGCTTCCCCGGGGGCGACACAAGCTCATCATCCTGGATGAAGCTGACAGGTGGGTGCCCTGCCCTCATGGGGGCTGATCCCCGTCTGTTCCCGGCCTGTGTTCAGTCAGAGTGAGCGCCCTGGGGCAGTGGTCAGGACAGAGTACAACAGCAGCCCGTGTTCTTTCAAGACCATTTAGGAGACACTAATATCTTGCTTTATTTCTTCTCTTTTTCTTAACTATATATTTTTACATAGATGAAATCATAATACTTTTAATTCTATACTTTTCACAATATGGATTTGGGGTTTTCCTGTTTTTTAAGATTGGGTCTTGCTATGTAGTCCACACGGTGTCAAAGTCACGATCCTCCTGCCTCAGCCTTCAAGTGCTGGGATTACAGGTGTGTGCCACCTCACCTGGCTTTTGTGTGCCCATCTTGATCCTGCGGTTAATGATAGCTGCTTTTGCTTGTCCCGTACATCCGTTTATCCATCTCCTGCTGCACCCATGTCACCCTTTTTGGTTTGATGTTGGGTGCATTTCAGAGCAAGTTGGCAGCGTTACTAGGCGTCTTGCACACATCCCCTCTTCCGGTTAGGGTGTGTCTGGGACACAGAGTGGACACATTCAGGGCGCACCTCTGGGGATTTCTTAGCCCCTGGCGCTGGGGTTTGTGTGGCACCGTGGCGAACGCTCGCCGAGGATGTGAGAAGCCCTGGGTGCCACTCCCAGCACTGCTGCATTGCGTGCTGGAAGCCCTGGCAGCTGCCACTGCGCCGGTGGTTTGGGGGCTCCTCCTGCGGGCGGTTTGCTGGAGCAGCCTGTGAGAGGGCGGCTGTGGGTCTCCACAGCCCAAGTGCGGGCTGCGTCCTGTGTCACTGTGGGAGAGCCGTCTCTGGGATGGGGCCCGACCCTCAGTGCCTCCCCTGTGCTTTCTCCCCAGCATGACGGATGGCGCCCAGCAGGCCCTGCGCAGGACCATGGAGATCTACTCCAAGACCACCCGCTTCGCACTGGCCTGCAACGCCTCGGATAAGATCATAGGTGAGCGGAGCTGTGCCGGCCTGGTGCCCGCTTGGCGCCTTGGCAGTGGGGTGAGGGGACTGACTGCCGCCATACACCGAGTCTGCATGAGCAGCTTTTTACATTTTAGTTGGCAAACTCGTGTATTTATCATGTACAGCGTGGCATTTTCAAATATGATCAACTTAATTTTTTTTCAGTACTGGGATTGAACCCAGGACCCTTGCACTGAGCCACTTCTCCAATCCTTTTTATTTTGAGACAAGGTCATGCTAAAGACAAGGTCATCCTCCTGCCTCAGTCTTCCAAAATGCTGGGATTATAGGCTTGTTCCACTGCACCTGGTTAACTTTAATCTTATGCAATTATACGTGAAGTGTTACTAGCTGAACTTTTTTTTCTATTTTTTTGGAGGTGAGGGGTTGAGCCCCAGGTCTTGAGCCGGCGAGGAAAGCGCTCTGCCGCTGAACTACAGCCCCAGGCTTTTTGAAGTTTTATTTTAAGATATGGTCTTGATAAGTTTCCCAGAGTGGCCTCAGATTTGCTGTCCTCCTGCCTCAGCCTCCAAGTTCTCGATTCTAGGTTTGTGCCATCACGCCTGGCTAAGCTTCACTTTACAGGTGAGAAAGGAGGCAGAGAGGCCGAGGAGCCTGTCCGTCTCACGCAGTGGGAGAGCAGAGCCCCAGGTCTGTCTGCCCGCCATGCTCGCTGGGGCACTGCTGTCACGAGCCCAGGGTCGCCATCGCCTCCCGCATGTCCTTGCTGTGTATGCAAACAGACCACGCCCTGCCCTGTGCAGCTAGGAGTCACCCGGCCTCCGTCTCTTCCTCATGAGGCCTCGGTTTACCTCACGTCCCTCCTCCCTGTTCCCCTTCCCCTCCACCCGGAAGGCCTTCCCTCCGGTCTCATTCTCGCCTGCACAGCTGCACACAGGGCCAGGTCCCGCCAAGCGGCTCACCGCGTCCACTTCCGGTCTGCACTGAGCTCAGCATGTCAGTACCCAGGCACCCTGGGCTGCTGTCCCTGAGGTGTTCTCTGTGTCCCTGTGTGTCCCTTCCTCGGTCCCTGATCCTCACCCATGTATCCTGTCCCTGGGGCATCGGCCCAGAGCTCGGCTCGAGGACATGCAGAGTTGGACGCAGGCCGGTTCTGAGAGTGCATGGCTCTCACTCACGCAGCTGGCCTGGCACATCCTTGAGGGCAGCGGTGCCTGCCGTGGGCGCCCGGCCCTCCCCGCAGTGCAGGGCAGGCTCTGCATGCCGGTGGCTCTGCTTGGTGACGTGCAGTGGCAGCGGGAGGAAGGACTGAGCCTCCCTTCTTGAGCAGTTGCTTTTTCGATACTCTTAGCACTCTTGTTGCTGTTGTTTCTAAAGGGAAGTTGCAGGTGTGTAGTGGGATCTGTACTCTGGCCTCTGGGCCGGGCCTGTAGCTCAGTGGCAGGGCCCCTAGTGTGGGTGATGGCCTGGACTCAGTCCAGCACCACAGCAGAACCTTCCAGGGAGACCACAGAGTTGGGAGAATCGTTGACCACGCTGGGCATGACAGCAGGGAGGAGGTGCTGTGTTAGTCTAACCTGAGGGACAAGAGAGCTTCCCAAATTCCGTGTGTGTGCTGGGTGTAGTGCATGCCTGTGATCCCAGTATTTGGGAGGCTGAGACAGGAGGATCGCTGTGAGTTCGAGACCAGCCTGGGCTACATAGTGAGTTCCAGGTCAGTCTCAACTACAAAGTGAGACCCTGTCTCAAAAAACAACAACAACAACAACAACAAAAAAGGCAAACAAAAAATAACAAAGAAAGGAATTGTTTGCCTGGTGAGGCAGACCCTTGTAGTGGTCAGAAGCTCCTGTGACATGTGCCTGTTATCCTTGCACTCTGGGAGGCTGAGGCAGGAGGACTGTAAGTTCTAGCCAAGTTGGGACAATTAAGTGACTTAGACCCTGTCTCAAAAATTTAAAAAAGGTTGAGGATGTAGCTCAGTGTGAAGGCTCTGGGTTCAGTCCCCATTACTGGGAGGGGGGTCTGTAGAGCTCTAAGGTGGTCGTGGGTGCCCCAGAGCTGGATTGTCGCAGTCACTTCTCTGATCCCCGACCTGTCCAGCCTGCACGGTGGCACTGGATGCAGCGGGCCTGGCCCTGGCCTGTCGGTGGCTGCGTGGCTCTCCTGTTCCTGCTGAGCTGGTGCGCTGTGTCCCCACGGCGGGGTGGGCGGGGCAGGGCAGCCTTGGCTTTGGCGGTGGGTGGAGCCTCACCCTGCCCCGCCCGCAGAGCCCATCCAGTCCCGCTGTGCAGTGCTGCGCTACACCAAGCTCACTGACGCGCAGATCCTGGCAAGGCTCCTGAGCGTCATCGAGAAGGAAGCCGTGCCCTACACCGACGACGGCCTGGAGGCCATCATCTTCACCGCGCAGGGCGACATGCGACAGGTGCTCACTGGCCTGTGGGGAGGCGGGTGGGGCCGCGGTGTCACCGTCACCTTGCCTGTGTCTGTCCCTCCGCAGGCACTGAACAACCTGCAGTCCACCTTCTCAGGCTTTGGCTTCGTCAACAGCGAGAACGTGTTCAAGGTGAGGCTGCGCACCTGAGCAGCCGGGCTGGGCCCAGAGTGGGGGCTCCTGAAGGATGGGCATGGAGCTCAGCTGCGCTGCCCCCAGAAGGGCTGGGGAGCCTGACCCACTCCTGTTTCTCATCACACCCTGAGGGCCCGCGGTCCCCTGGTGTGGAGGCTTCAGCTGTCTGGATGTGGCCACTGCTATTTCTACACTTGTTCTTAGCCAAAAGGCCGAAAAACCATTCATTACTGTTTCTTTTTCCAAAACTAGGGACTGAACTCAGGGCTATATCCTGAGTTCACACTGAGCTATATCCCCGGTCTTTTTTTTTTTTTGGTACTGGGGATTGAACTCGGGTCCTTACACTTGCAGGGTAGGCGGTGGAACCACTGAGCTAAATCTCTGGCCCTGTTCCTTTTTATTTTTTGATATAAGGCCTTACTGAGTTGCTGGGGTTGGGCTCAAACTTGCAATCCTCCTGCCTCAGCCTCCAGGGTGCTGCAATTGACCTCCCGGTTCTTACATGGATTCCCTGTGGCTCTGGGCTGCTCAGTGATCTAGTGACATTCCCTTCTGACCCGTGGTTGCTTTAGGATCATTTGTTGTGTCTTTGAGGAATTCCTAATCAGGGAGCTGTGAACTTCTGTTGTCTCGGAGGGCAGCAGGGCCGGGCTGGGAAGGAGGCCGTGTGGGTGACTGTGTATTTGGTCCCCAGCCCCTCCTGTGCCTCTTTCTCCTGCTGCCAGGTCTGTGATGAGCCCCACCCACTACTGGTGAAGGAGATGATCCAGCACTGCGTGAGCGCCAACCTCGAGGAGGCCTACAAGGTGAGCCCTGCCTCCCACCCTCACCTTCCCATCTGGGGCCCTGAGGCCAGATGTGCTGCCCTGGAAGTCAGCCTGGAGGAGGGGCCAAGGGTTCCAGCCTGATTTAGGGCCTGGGGATGGGGTGGAGGTGACGCAGAGACCCATAGTGTGCTCTGACTTGATGTGGCACTAGAGTTCCAGGCCCAGAGACTGAGGCAGGGGTGCAGTCCAAGGCCCATGGTGGAGTGGGCGTGGGGGGCCTGAATTCGCCCTGAGATGCCCAGACCACAGGGAGCTCCCCAGCAGGGACAGGGTAGTGGGTTGGAGGCCAGTACTTGGGCTTTGCTGTCCAGGTGGCTCTGCTCGGCAGTCCTAAGGATTCTGCCACCCTGCTGGGTGCTTGGCAGGCTGACTCAGAGTTTTAAGAGCCCCAGGTAAGTAGGGTCCAGGGGCACACGCCTGTGATCCTAGCACTGGGGTGGCTGAGGCAGGAGGATTGCCACAAGTTCAAGGCCAGCTTGAACTACATAGCTAGGTCCCGACTCAAAAGAAGAAAAAGAGCCCAGGGAAAGACACAGCCTGACGATAGTGGCCGTCCCGAAGACCAACAGAAACACCGGTGCTGCTGACTACGCCCCGGAAGACACCGTTGCCCCCACTGGACCAGAGGGTGTCAGGCTGTGGGCTTCTCAGGTCCCCCGAAGCTCGAGGTTGAGGGGAACCCCGACCTCCTGGGTGATCCGGATGGGCCGTGTTGGGCTCCCGTGGCCTCACTGCATCCATCCCCTCTGCCAGATCCTCGCCCACCTGTGGCACCTGGGCTACTCTCCAGAGGACGTCATTGGCAACGTGTTCCGTGTGTGTAAAACTTTCCAGATGGCTGAGTACCTGAAACTGGAGTTCATCAAGGTGAGCAGTTAGGGAGCCGTCTCTGCACTCTGCACAGACCGACGGACGGACGGACGGACGGACGGGAACGCAGGGCCTCTTACCACTGGGCAAGTGCCCTGCTGCGGAGTCTTGTCCCTGGCCTTGATTTTTTTAAGGCCCGGTTTATTGAGCTGTAATGAGCATACGTGGAGGTCAGCCCTTTGGATATCTGTCTTAAAATTGTTTTGATGCTACTGGGGATTAAACCCAGTACTGAGCTGCTTTGCACTGAGTTATGTTCCCTTGTTTTTGTTTGTTTGGGTTTTTTGGGTACCAGGGATGGAACTTGTGCTTGGGAGCCGGCGACAAAGCCACTGAGCTACATCCCCAGCCCCTTCCATCCCTTGTTTATTGTTTATCCCGAGAGAGGCTCTCTTGGGGCAGTAAGTTCCCCGTGTGGGGCTTGGGCTTTTGATCCTCCTGCCTCAGCCTCCCAGAGTGCTGGGATTACAGGCGTGTACCACTATCTCTGGCTTTTTAAGTTTTTTTTTTTTTTTTTTTTTTTTTTTTTTTTGGTACCGGGGATAGAACTCGGGTCTTTGCTCTTGCAAGGCAGGCCACCAAACCCCTGAGCTAAATCCCCGGCCCAATTTTTAATCTGGCTTTTTAAGTTTTGTTTTGTTTTTAAACAATATCTTTTAAAGAAAAAACAATCTTTTTAGGAAACCAGTTGAACTCTAGTTCAACACACTGCATTAGCCCTTAGCCTCTTTCCCCATGTGGAGCTGGAGTCCACTGCGTCTTGTGAGCCCCAGGCTGGGGTGGGGCCCTCTCACGTGTCAACACCTGTGTGCCCGTCCGCAGGAGATCGGGTACACACACATGCGCGTGGTGGAAGGCGTGAACTCCCTCCTGCAGATGGCGGGGCTGCTGGCCAGGCTGTGTCAGAAGACGATGGCGCCGGTGGCCAGTTAGAGCGGGGATGTCCATCACCGGTGGGCAGAGCAGTCCTCACCCTGAGTGGGAGCACCGCGGGCTGCAACAAGTGGACACGCTCCATTTTGGACTCCAGTGGCGCCTGGCACATCCTGTTGCCTACATGTCTGAGGGACTCAGTGACTGGGTCTGGGTGCTGTTGGGGTTGTAGCAATAAAGCTGGACTGTGTTTGTCCTACAGCGTTTGACACTCCGAGGCTTCCAGGGACACCTACGTCCTTCCCGCCACTGTGCCTGCCTCCCCAGGTCAGCTGGGCATCTGGGCCGGACTCCTCTGGATCTCCAGGATTGGCTGTGGTTCCAGGGGTTCAGAAAGTCCCCCCGGAACAGCTCAGGACGGGGAGCCCTGCAGATGGGTAGGGGCCGTGGCGGCTGGGGCTCCAGCCAGGCCCGTAGATGGCTGGGCTTCAGCTGTGTCGCCTTCCCCTACTTTCGTGGGCTTGTTGCTTTGGAGTTCACCAGGGATTTTGGTTTGTTTGTTTGGTACCAGGCATGGAACCCAGGGCCTCATTCATGCCGGGCAAGTGCTCCTACTGAGCTGCATCCCTAGTTCCTTTTTATTTTGAGACAAGGTCTCTCTCAGTTGCCCAGGATGGCTTCCAACTTGGAATCCTCCTGCCTCAGCCTTCTGAGTAGTTGGGATTACAGGGTATGCTGCCCACCCAGCTCCCTTTTTTTCATGCCAGGGATCAAACTTGGGACCTTGCACTTGTGAGGCAGGCATGGCACCACTGAGCTATGTCCCCGTGGCTCCCTTTGTATTTTTAACTATGAAAAGTTTGGTGTGTAAAGTACCAGCGCCACACAGTGACCCTTCACAAGTTCATCACACACCTGGACAGTGTCACCCATGTGTGGCCACGTGTGTTTCCTGTCTCCCACTTGCCACCCTGCCCCTCCCAAAGTGTCCCGAAGCAAATGCCAGGCCTTCACTTACAGTGGTGGCTCTGCTTCTGCAATTGGTGCTTTCGCTGGCAGAGTTCAGGCTTGGGTTCTTTTTTGAGGTGCCAGGGATGGAACCAGGGCCCCTCCATGCTAGGCAAGTGGTCCGCATCTGAGCTGCGCCCCACATGGGATACCCTGGTTGAGATACTTGTGAGCCTGGTGTGGCAGTGCACGCCTGTAAGCCCAACATTAGAGGCCAAGGCAGGAAGATTGCAGATCTAAGCCCAGCCTGGGCAACTCGAGTGACTCGGGTCCTGTCTTTCTGTTCCCCATTCCTATTCCAACAGATTTTCCTACTCTTAGAAAAATAAATAATAGGGCCTGGGATGTAGCTCAGTGGCACCCTCGGCAAGCACAAGGTCCTGAGTTTGATCAGCAGTACCCCCCCAAATAAAAATAGAAAGGGAGTTAGGGCTGGGGCTATATCTCAGAGCAAAACCCGAGTTCAGTCCAGTCCCTTGTACTGCAAAAATAAGGAAAAGCCCTCTGAGTCCCCTGCAGGCTTCCAGACGAAGGCTGAGTGAGCCCTGCCAGCTGGCACAGCAGACAGCGACCTTGCAGCTCAGCAGTGGTCTTGTCCCATCCACAGCCTGTGTCGCTCTCAGACCACAGTGCCAGGTGGGGACACCGCGGAGACAGGCAGGGCCCCAGGTTACCGGCCCTCCACATGGGGTCTCACAGCTGGGGTCAGGGAAGGAACTTGAGCTGTCTGCAGCTGCAGCTGTCATTGCCCACCAGGCTCGCAGACCTGGGCCCAGGAAGCACAGCAGCTCGCCCTGATCGCAGGGGAGGAGGCCTCCTTCCCATGGCCAGTGGCAGTAGAGGCGACTCCCAGTACCTCCCCCAGGCCCTGGCTCACAGGAGTGGCTTGTCCTCGGGATGAAGGGACACATGGCCACAGTGTAGTTCTAGGTGTTTATTTCCTGACTTGTAAATTAATTTCTCCCCAGAAAGAATCAGTATGGCATCCTAGGGAGAGGGTTGGACTGAGACCCAAGAAAATATCCAGTCAGGTGTGGTACACACCTGTCACCCCAGCACTCTTGGAGGCTGAAGCAGGAAGATCAAAAGTTCATACCAAGCCTGGACCACTCAGTGACTTAGTGAGACCCTGAGTCAAAGTAAAATACAACGGGCCAGGTGTGGTGGTACCTGTCTGTAATCCCAGCACTTAGGAGGCTGAGGCAGGAGGATTGCTATGAGTTCAAAGCCAGCCTGGGCTACATAGCAAGACCCTGTCTAAAAACAGGAAACCATAATGGGCTGGGGTTGTAGCTTAGTGCAAAGGCCCTGAGTTCAATCCCCAGTATTAGGAAGAAAAAAAAAGCCACCCACAGCCTTCTCTATGTCTCAGGGTCCTTTGTTAAGCAGGAGGCTCGCATCTGAGCAGGGACACAGCTGTGACAGTCCCTGCTCCTTGGCTGACATGGTTTATCAGGAGTTTCGGCAGGAGGAGGCATCTCTCCCTCTCTTGCACTGCTGACCTCCGAGGGCTGAGCACCGTGGCTCCAAGCCAAGGTGCTCTTTTGTCTCTGGCAAGTGACATTTGCATGGAAGGAACTTCACGATGGCTATGGCTTCATTTCTTCAGCCGAAGAAAGCCCGGAGAGTCCCCACAGTGGGCAGGGAGAGCCGGGCCCGAGCAGTGCACTGCACACGGCTGCCCGTGTGTAAGTTAACTGCAGAGCGCACAGTCCTGTAAAAGATGCCTGAACCCAACATGTGAGCAGTTTGGAATCCAAAGCAGAAACAGACAAGGGATGCGGTGTTGGACAGCATTTTAGAGGATAGTTTGAAGGTGCAGCTTGCCCTGAACCCTGGGCGTCCTGTCACAGCAGGGCCAGGTGACACCGGGCACCTGTGCTGCCCCAAGGAAGCCCAGGTCGGGGCAAAGGGCGCAGCTGTGGCAACGCCATGTGTCTCCCGGCTGTCCCCATGGCCAGCCAGGTGGTCCCTGGTTGTCGGGCCTCTTCCAGGAGAAACGCAGGGCTGAGGGGAGCATGCTAGGCGGGGCTGCGGCGGACTGCGACCCATCCAGGAGGCTGGGTTCCCTCAGGCCTGGCGTTGGCTCCTTCAGTGCAGATGAGAGGGTTTGTCACAAGGAAAGCCTCGGCCGCTGCCCGTTCCCGGAAGCGGCAGGGTGGTTGGGGGTCAGCGTTCGGTTGCCTCCTGGCAGGATCCCCCAGACTTGTCCCTCCTGTAGCAGGAACCTCACTCTGAGTTTGACCTGGGCCACAGCCTGGGTGACCACAGAGCACCTGGTGGCCCCCGCTGCCCTGCCCTGGGCCGAGCTCCCACACTCAGAAAGGACCTGTGCTGACAGTCGAACTCTGCCTCCTGCCAGGCCGTGGGACCCGGGACCAGGCTGCTCTGCCCTGAGGACGCTGGGCTGGGCAGTTCTCGCTGTTCGTTGGGCCGGCCGGGTCTCCCAGCAGCAGCCTAGCTCCAGACCCACACCTCCTGAGGGTGGCATCCGTCAGCACCAACGTGGTCACTGCCACCATCCTCCCTCGGTCCACAACCCCTGGCTCTTGCTCCATTTACCACTTCCCTCTAAAGCGAAACTTTCTTCTTTATTTTTGGTACTGAGGGTTTGTACTAGGGCCTGCGCACTGAGCTAAATGCCCAGTTCTTTTTATTTTTTGAGACAGGGTCTTGCTAAATCAGCTAGGCTAGGTTCAAACTTGTGATCCTCCTGCCTCAGCCTCCCAGAGTGCTGGGATTACAGACGTGGGCCTCCATGCCTGGCTTAAAGTGAAGCCTAATCTGCACTCCCCAGCCACCCCCCCCAGGCACCACTACTCCTCACGGTGACCACCCACACCCCGGGGCTCTCTTCTTCACCTCTGTGGTTGGCCACACCCTCCTGGTCGCTGTCTGAGGCAACAGCTGCTGCTTCGGCCCCCACCTCCTGGCCTGGCCCCGGCCCAGGACTCAGCCCTGGTCCTGGCCATTTCTCCCTCCCTTGGTGACTGCCCTCAGCCGGGCTTCCTGAATCACCTGTGCAGGGACAGCCCCTGGGGCCGCAAGGTGACCCTGCCTACCCTGACCCAGGTTTGGCCTCTTGAGTGCCCAGTCCACCCTGTGTGGCTGGGGGACCAGAGCTTATGTCCCAAACTCAGCCTTGGTCACCTGCCCCAGCTGCCAGTGACGACCTTCCACACCTACCTGTGTCTCCTGCCCCGGCCCCAGTTCTCGGACTCCCTCCCCGCACCCTGCACTGAGTCCTGTCCCAGCCCCCCCTCCACCCCCTGTGAGCTCGGCCTCTGCTGCCGCCCCTCGGCTTCCCCGGCTGTGTGCCAGTGTCGGGTGTGCGCTCTGCCCGGCCCCAGGTACAACCTGCCCTGTAGCCCTGCCCCCGCTGCTGCCCTCTCGGGGCTCCCTGTGGTGACCCCACTTCCTGTGACCTCCGTCTTCGAGTAGCCTCAGGGGTCTCGGGGTGAAGCTGTAGGAGCCCCCCACCCCTGGCTTCAGAGGCTTCTCCACAGCCACGGCTGTCCTGCCCCTTTCTGTACCAGCGCAGAGCCAGGGACCCCAGCTCCGTTTGGCCAGGGAGGAAACAGGTTGGGGCTGACCCTCCGTCGGTCCTGCAGCCCGTTGGGTCAGACTTCTGCGGCCGACACCCCTGCAGCTTCAGGTCTGTCCCCTTGCCCACCTACCTGTCACCTGCATGCCTGCCACTGCGGGTCCCCAGCCCCATGAGAGGTGGAGCGGGCGGAGGGCGACAGGACTGGGGTTCATCTCCCTCCTGAGGAGCTCGGTCCCCAGCACCCATGGGCGCCACCCACAAGACACCTCCCCTCAGGGTCCTCAGGGCCAGGGCGGCTGGCGTGGGCTTACCTCAAGTCGTCTCCCTAGGCTTCCCGGGCCACATCCCCGTTCACATAGTCCGGCTCCCCACTGTCCTCATCTGGGCTCCCCGCCGGGGACAGATGTGCCGCTGAGGGGACAGGTGCTGCAGACCGGGAGGCAGGTGTGTGGGGGTGGCCACACCCCAGCTCCAACCGGACTCCACAGCCACCCGCAGGGGATATCACACGGGGCAGCGGTAGTCTGTCTGCCTGTCTCGGGTTTGCCGGAGATGGCCCTGCTCTGGGAGCCGAGATGGTGCCGCTGAGTGGAATCCTGGCTGAGTGCAGCATGCCTGCAGCCTTAGGGACACTGGAGGCCCCTGGAGTCTGCTGGGTGGCGGGAGTGGAGCCCCCCCCCAGTTCCCTGGTGTGGCCATGATGTCCCCTCAGACACCTACCCCAGGCCTGTGGGGACTCCTGCCATTGATGGATGGATGCTGAGTTCTGATAGTCTCCAGACTCTTCTCTGCCTGCGGGCACAGGGACAACTGGGGAGGCCCGGCCGCCTGAGCAGGCCTGGGGCCACAGGGCCTCGGTGGCCGGGTCCTGGGCAGCTCACACCCTTCCCAGGCTGTGCCCAGGACACTGGCTGGGCGACACGTTGCTCGGAGGCACCAGAGCGTCCGGGTTCCAGAGCAGGGAAGGCTTGGGCACAGGAGCCCAGGCAGCTTCAGGGAAGCGTACACAGCCTCCGCTCCCAACCAGCGCTCACCTGACTCTGCACTCGTGCTCCAGGGCTGGCAGACCAGCACGTTCTCGTAGGAATTGGTGTCGTCCTCATCTGCGGGAAGGAGCGGTACCTCGGGCTGCTGGGGCTCTGCCTGGATGGCCTGCCTCTCCTGGCCTCTGCCTCCCGCCTTGTGCAGGGGACCTGGCTCGCCAAGTCCCTGCCTCCTACTTTCTCCTGGACAAGCTCTGCTTTTCTGGTCCCCTCCCACTTTTCCTTGTGTGGTACTGGAGACTGAAGCCCAGGTCCTTCATACCGAGCTACATCCGCAGCCCTTTTTTGTTGTTTAAGAGCAGGTCTCATGAGGCACTGAGTTGCCCAGGCTGGGCTTGCACCCGGGATGCTTCTGCCTCAGCCTCCCAAGTGCTGGGATTACAGGTGTGCAAAGGTGCTAAGAGCCAAGGGCTCAGCATCCAGCCCACCCCCAGATGACCAGGGGTCCCTGCCTGCCAGCTGAGCGCCCCCTGCACCTCTCCTCTGCCTCACCTTCAGGGGGCTTCCGGGAGCACCCCCAGTTGTAATAGTCCACGGCAATGGGGTCTCTGGCCAAGGACATGGACACAGGATGAGTTGGTGGACTGGCGCCGTCAGGTGGGGGCCAGAGGGTACTCGGGTGGGGCGGCTCTGACTGTCGCTCACTGGCAGGGGCTCTGCCGAGTGCCCCATCCCTCCCTTGGGCTGCCTGGAGCCACCCTGGGGCTGGAGGGGGGCAGCCCAGCTCCAGCCGCCCTGCTAGGCGGCCTCATTTGTGAGAAGAGGGCAGCAGGGGGAAAGGCAGCGAGGGCCCTTCCCGCTGGGCGGGGTAGGAGGAGCCTCTCTGAGTAGAGCAGAGGGAGGCTCAGCTTGGCAGGAGCTGAGGGGGGCCGGGCGCCACTCACATGTAGGCGTGGGACTCGCTTCTGCTCCCTGGAGGAGGCAGGAACAGTTAGGTCCGAACTGGGTGGCCAGCCCCCCACCCCCAGAGCCCTCTCACCTCTGCTAAAGTTCAGGTACCGGGCGGACTCAGGGTCTGGAAGAAAGGCCAGGCACAGTCCCCCTGCCCTCCTGCAGGCCACCCCACCGCCCGGCCCGGCCCCACCTCGACTCCAGTCACTCACCCTGTGGCGGGGCGGAGAACTGCAGCAGCCTGTCCTTCCTGTGGGGGACAGGGACACTGGGGTGGACCCGAAGGCCCCTGGGGAGGGGGGGCCCGGCCCAGGCTCAGCCCATGGGGACCCAGGCTGTGGCCCTGGCGCAGTGGGGAGCTGGTCCTACCCTGTGGGGGCTGCATCAGGGGCTGTGTCCGTCAGGGGTCCTGGCCACGCCTGCCTGACTGCTGCAAAGGGAAGGAGGTGTGGGTGGGCCCAGGGCAGCTGCTCCCATCGGTCTTGGCCCTGAAAGGATCTTTTCGGTTTTTTTTTTGGGGGGGGGGTGCTCCTGGAGATTGAACCCAGGGCATTCTACCAAGCTACATCCCCAGACATTTTTTCTTTTTTATTTCAAGACAGGGTCTCCCTAAGTCACTAAGCTGGGCAGGACGGACTCCCACTTGAGATCCTCCTGCCTCAGCCCCTCAGAGTGCTGAGATGGCAGTCACGGGCTACCTCCTCAGGCTCCTGCTGTGAACCCCAGCCCCAGCCCTGTCCCTAGAGCCCAGGGACTCACAGGAATAGGTCCGAGAAGCCACCGAGAAGCTCTGCTGCCTCTCTTGCCTGGAAACACAGGAGGCTGTGCTGAGCAGGGCTCAGGCCCCACAGCCCGGGGACGCGGATCAGAGAGAAGAGGGACGGTGAGGGTTGTGGTGGGGACAGGCTGTCGCCCTGCTGCCTCGGATGCAGGGTTCCCACCCTCACCCTGACCACACGGGGCGGCAGCCTCCACATGGCTGCCAGCCAGGCTGTCCCCAGCACCGTCACATCCTGTGTCCCCAGGGGCAGAAGGACCAGACGGGTCGGGAGAGGTGGCCCCAGGAGCCCTAGGCACAGGGGAGGCACTGCCTGGGGACCTGGTGGTGACTGGGGGAAAATGACAGTGCCGCCAGTAGCCAAGGGCCTGCCTGCACCCAGGATGTGTCCCTGTCCCCAGAGGGCTCGGCTGCTGTGCTCAAAGCCACCTGAAAGCTCAGCAGAAGCAGGTTCCGGGCACTGCTCGGACGGCCCTTCTTTCTTGGCAGAAGGCTGGTTTGTCGTTCTTGTTTCATTTTTAGAGCCAAGGTTCCGGAGCTGGTGACCCTCCTACCTCAGCCTCCCAAGTTTCGGAATCACAGGCCTCACTGGGTAGAAGCCTGATCTTTGCAGTATTTCAGCAGGCATGTGCTCCTCTCAGAGACTGCCCAGGCTTCTCCACACTGCAGTGCAGCCATGTGAATGGGCTCCCGTCAGGGAGCTGCACACCAACTTTGTTGATATTTCCAAGAAGTCTCCTCGTGGGGCAAGGCCAGCTGGAGGAAACCCTTTCCGTCCTCATCTCTTTTTGCTTGCAACTTCTTGGAATGCAGAGGTAAGGGGTGCTGCTCTGGATGCCTTCTTGGACCATGAAGTTCCTTGACACTGCAAGCCCCCCTTGCATATTGGGGAAGCCAATTAGCCATTCAGGTTTGGGGCTCCTCCCCTGGACTCCAGCCAGTCCCTGGGGATTTGGAGTTAGGGTGACCTGGTTGAGGACGGATGCCCTAAGTCCATGGGAGAGAGTCGGACGTGGTCCCTGTCGGGGGTGATTTGGGAATGGGGCCGGTACACAGTGGTCATTTGGTGCAGGTTGATGGGCCTGACCCCCAACCACCCAAGCCGAGGATGTGCACCCTGTGGTCCATCAGGAGAAGAAAGGGAACACTGGGGACAACGGGGAGGGGAACCCCAGGAGGCTCCAGCCCTGGCCCAGGGTGACACAGATTCTATTTTCAAATCTCACTGTGGTTTTTCAGTTGCGAAAGGAAATGAAGGATGTGAGCCTGTGCGTGTGTGCACGCGTTGCGTGAGGGCCGTGCCGTGTGTACTGTGCTGTGCAAGCGTGTGACAGCGTCCCCATGTGCACCCTGGGGATGTGTCCCGGGCTCCACCCCTGCACCCAGACGTGCAGTCCGTCCAGTCTGTCCCCAGGGCGCCCGCCCTGCTCTCCTGCCTGGGCTCCCAGCCGGGGAAACTCACAGGTTTCTCTGCTCGTAGATTTTCTCTGTCCTCTTCGGCCCTGTGAAGAGCAGGCCAGGGTTAGTGAGTGTCCCTGAGCCGGGTGGGGACTGAGGTCCCTGCTGTGCCCTCCCCGTGCTCCCTCCAGGCCTCAGGCAGGACCGCTCAGCTTTGGGTCGGAGGGGAGAGATGGAGAGGGGTCCCACAGGTGGCCCAGCCCCAAGCCCGCTCCCTGGACTGGAGCAACCCCCTGCACTTTTTTCCTTCTATGTCAGGGCTATGTGGGAACCTAGGGTCTTTGCACTGAGCCAAATCCCAGCCCATTTTCTTTGGTATTTTGAGACAAGGTCTTGCTAAATTGCTAAATTGCTCAGGCTGGGTTCAAATTTGCAGCCCTCCTGACTCAGCCTCCAAGAGCACTGGGATTATAGGCGAACACCACCACACCCGGCTCAGAGACCCCACTTGACCCGGTGAAACCAAAGGCCCCCCGGGCACAGGGCCCAGTGCCTTCTGGGTCAGCTCAGGGTCCAGCACCCGGTGGTTGGGCCTGAGTCTCACCAGGGGCTCCTCCCTCAGCCTGGGTCCCCTTACCTGGACGGGAGCAGTGCACACACAGCCCAGCCATGGCCATGGCCCCTAGCAGCAGCAGCAGCAGCGCCGCCCCTGGCCACAGCAGCTCTGCCTCGGGGCCCATGTCCTCTGCTGTCCCTGCCTGCAACACGGAATCACATGTGAGCCCCGCCCTGCACTTGGGTTTCTGACCCCACGGGGCCCCATGGTCCCACAGCTGGGCCCAGGCTGCCCCCGGGACAGCCCAGTTCCCCTGTGACCCCAGCCAGCCCTGGTCCCCTGCATCCCCTCTATCCACTCAGCCTGTGAGGGAGGGGCTCCCCACAAGCACAAATGGAGAAAATGAGGCTGGGGCCTCCAGCCACTCTGTGGACAGTCAGGATTCAAGCCCCAGCCCATTCACTGCCTGTGATCCCAGCACTCTGGGAAGCTGAGGCAGGAGGATCTCTAGTTCAAGGCCAGCTTGGGCAACTAGGTGAGACTGTCTCAAACAAAACAAAACAAATGACCCCAGCCCGGGGTCCTAATCCTGGCTGTACCCACACCCGGGCTCTTCTCTGCCTCCCAGACATCTGGGAACGGGTTTCCTTTTTCCACACCCATGAGCCCAGATTCTGCCTGTTGTGTGGGAGGGGAGGGCTTCCTGAAGGAAGTGGCCCTAAGAGTCGGGGGGGAGATGATGCCCTGGCCGAGGGGCTGCTGGTGGCTGCTGGTAGGGGTAAGAGCTAGGGTGACCAGCCTGGGTGACACAGGTCTTATTGACGGCCAGCGGCACAGCGTGGGGAGTAAATACAAGTACAGGCCAGAAGGAACCAAGGCCACTCTAAAGAGACCCAGCCCCTCCCTAGCTGGGGAGGTTTGCATGTGGTTATAATCGCAGTGTGCTCGGAGGCTGAGGCAAGAGAGTGGTAAACTCCAGCCCAGCAGACCTTGGGGATGCAGCTCAGAGAAAAGGGCCTGGGTTCAGTCCCCAGTATGGAAAAAGAGGAAGGAGAAATAGAAGGGCTCCTCCCACCCCGCTGCTGGGGAAGGTGCGGCCAGGACGGAATCCTGGGCGGAAGAGGACCTGCGTGGCCGGCCTGTCCCCTCCCTAGCTTCTCGGGGTCACAGATGACACAGAACCCACATGTGTCACTGCAGGCCTGCGGCGGTGAGTCACGGGAACAGTGACTTCCCGGCCATGTGACTCCTACTCCCTGGTCACCAGACCTCCTCCCCACCACCAGCGGCAGGTCTCTGTCCAGCTGTGGGACGTGGGGAGCACCGGGCCCCGGAGGGGGGTGCAGGGCTGGTTCCTGCCTGTGCAGGAGCCTCAGGGACTCTGTGTCTCACCTGGACACCGAAAGGGACAGCAGAAGATGGAAAGACATCCCCTGCTCCTGGATAGGCAGAACCGCTCTAATCAAATTGGCCACACCTCCAAAGCTGCTATTCAGATTTAACGCAGTCCCAGTCAAATACCAACGGTGCTCCTCACAGAACTGGAGAAAACAACCCTAAAATTCATAGGGAACCAGAAGAGACCCAGAATAGCCAAAGCAACCCTGGGTAAGAAGGGCAAGGCAGGGGACCTCACAATCTCAGACTTCGAGCTATATTACAAAACTACAGTGATAAAAACAGCATGGTGCTGGCACAAAAACAGATGTGCAGCTCAGTGGAACAGGAGAGAGGAAGCAGACACAACCCCAGGCATTTTGGCCACCGGATCTTTGACCACAGGGCCAAAATCACACTGGAGGAGAGAGAGGCTCTCTAACCAATGGTGGTGGGAAACTGGCTTCCCACACGCAGAAGACCGAGGCTAGAAGCAAATCTCTCACCATGGACTAAACTAAAACTAAAAGGGAAAAATGATCTAAGGGATAAAACAGAAACATTTCATCTGCTGGAAGATAAAATAGGTAAAACTCTTGAAGACGCAGGCACAGCCAAGGACTTTCTGTACAGAACCCTGGTGCACAAGAAAGAACATCAGGAACCAACAAACGGGCCGGGCGTCGTGGTGCACACCTGTAATCCCAGCACTCGGGAGGCTGAGGCAGGAGGATCGCTGTCAGTTCTAGACCAGCCTGGGCTACATAGTGAGTTCCAGGTCAGTCTCAACTACATAGTGAGACCCTGTCTCAAAAAACAAAACAAAACAAAAAAAAAGAACCAACAAATGGGATTTGCATCAAATTAAATAGCTTCTGTGCGGCAAAGGAAATCCACTGAGATTCTGTGTCCCTCCCGGAAGAACGGCTCTCTTTAAGAATTTAAATAATACCGCATGCTGGCTGGCCGGGCCGTGGGAAGAAGGGACCCCTCCTCACCATCGGGCGAGTGCAGACTGGTGCGGCTGCCGTGGAAGTTAGGACGGGGATTCCTCACAAAGCTAAAGCTTCTGTGCTCACCCTTGCACTGTGGCGGAGGCTGCAGGGTGCACTTCTTTTCCTACTTTTACCTGGCCCAAGCTTGCTCTGCAGAGTCTTTTGCTTTTCCTACCTTTAATAAAACTTTCCTACTGTTGAAAAAAAACACAAACAAACCCTCAAACAGAAATTCCATTTGACCCATCAGTTCCCCTTCTTGGTATCTTCCTGGAAGATTTGAAGACATCATGTTACACTGATCCATTCACACTGGTGTTTATAGCAGCGCAACTCATAATAGCTCCATCATGGCAGCAGCCTACATATTCAGCAGAAGAACGGATAAAGAAAATGTAGTATTTATACAGATGGAGTACTACTGTGCCATAAAGGACAAACTTGCCAGGCATGGTGGCGCATGCCTGTGATCCCAGCACTCAGGAGGCTGAGGCAGGAGGATCGCTGTGAGTTCGAGACCAGTCTGGGGTACATAGCGAGTTCCAGGTCAATCTCAACTACATAGTGAGACCCTGTCTCAAACAAAACAAAACAAAACAAAACAAAAACAAAAACAAAAAAACAAAACAAGAAGGATAAGCTTGAGGCATTTCTAGGAAAATGGATGCACCTTGAGACCACACTGCTAAGTGAAATAAATCAGACACACTGGGCGTGGTGGCACATGCCCGTAATCCCAACCCTCGGGAGGCTGAGGCAGGAGGATCACTGTGAGTTCGAGACCAGCCTGGGCTACATAGTGAGTTCCAGATCAGTGTCAACTACATAGTGAGACCCTGTCTCAAAAAAAGTAAAAAATAAATTAAAAAAATAAATCAGACCCGCAGGTTTAAATATTTCATGGTTTCTCTGATATGAGAAACCCAAAGCATAAATAAATTAAAGAGCAAAGAGCTCTCTGCTTCCCTCTGCCATGACACATGTTTCTCTGCTGTGACCCTGCCATGGGCTGTCCTCAGACCCAGGCGACCCTGAACCCTAAACGTGAGCCAAAATAAATCTTTCCTCCTCTTAAAAAAAGAACAGAACAAAATGAAAGACAGATAATAGGAAACAGGGAGACGGATCATTTGTGAATAGGAAGGGACCAAGAGGTGGGGGAGCGGGGCAGGAAGTCAGAAGGATCGAGATGAGCCCACGCTAAGTGCGTGTGCCGCGTCCCCATGATGAATACCATCAGTGCACACTGCAAATAGCTGACAAAAATAAAAATTTTAGAAACAAAATGAGATCCAGTTGGGCATGGTGACAAAAACACATACTCCTAGCCCTCTGGGAGGCTGAGGCAGGAAGACTGAAACTAAGCCCAGCCTGGGCAACTTAGTGACTAGTAAGACTCGGTCTCAAAATAAAAAATAAAATGGGGGGCTGGGGATTTAGCTCAGGGGTGCCACTGCCTGCCTTGCAAGCGTAAGGTCCCAAGTTCAATCCCCGGTACCAAAAAAAAAAGCCCACCGTACAAGTGGAGAAGTAACGGCTCTGGGGATGGAGCTCGGCGCTAAGCCCCCCCCCCCGGAAGGCCAGAGGGACACAAACGGGGTGGATCGAGCCCACTCAGGCTCCCTACTCCCCCTGCCTCCTCGGCCGACACCTGGCATCTTCGTGTTCGGCTAGGACGGTGATTCTGCTCCAGAAAGACCAGGGCACAGACATAGGAGGGCGGCGCAGGGCTTGGGCGCGGCCCTGGGGACCCCGGAGCAAGTCGATCCCTTGGCGCGGTGATCAGGGTCCCCTGCCCAGCTTCCCAGTGGGTAGGACCCCTGGGCGGGAGGGGAGGCTGCCCACGTCCTCCGCCTGCCCGGGGCTGGGGGCGCAGGGACACTCGGCCCTCGCTTGGATTTGTTGTCTACATCACGTCCCGGCCTCTGATGGCCGAGGTGACCCCCGTCACCATCAAGGCCCTAAGGCCCGGTGTACGCACGGGAAGAGGAGTGACAGCCTGGCCCGCGCTCTGACCCGGGGACCAAGGAGCCAGACCCGCGAGGCTGTGCTCACCTCCTCCACTCCTTTGGTGCCCATTCACCCAGGGAAGATGCCTCTGAGCCCGGCAACGGGAGGCTCACAGAGGTGCGTCACAGTGTCACACAGCGGCTGAGGCACGGGCAGGCTTCAAAGCCAGGGCAGGCAGACCCCAGATGCCAGTGCTTTCTTTTCTCTCTCTCTCTCTCTCCCCCTCCCTCCCTCCCTCTCTCTTTCCCTCACTCGACATGGTCTCAGTATGTAGTCCAGCCTAACCGTGAACTGACCTTGAACTCTCTCAGCAATTCTCCTGCCTCAGCCTCCTGAGTGATGGGATTACAGGTCTATACCATCACATCTGGCATCATTTTGGCATCATTTCAATTTTTTGAGACAAGGCCTTACGAAATAGCCCAAAACAGCCTCCAGTTTGGAATCCTCCCGCCTCAGCCTCCTGAGTAACTGTGATCAGGGTTGTGCACCACCATGCCTAGGTAGCCATGAAATATCTTTAAAGCTAGACTAACAATCCCTTGTGTGTCTGCCCTGCAGCTGAATAGATTCTGTGCTGTGTTGCTCTCGGTCTCGCTCTTGCAGTTGGAGAGAGATGAGGAGGGGGCGGGGCAGCGGGGACAGGCAGCCCGGCAGCCCCCAGAGGCCCCAGGGGGCAGGGACTGGGTGGGGCCGTCGCAACCCCTGTTTTGTGGCCAAAATAGCTCAAGGGGAAGTGGGCAGTTTTCTTATGAACACAGCTTACAGGGACGGCTGGAGAAAGCGCGGGCCGGGCCTCGCCTCTGAGCTCTGGTGCGGACTCAGAGCCATACTGGCCGGGGACAACCAGGGACAGGGCCGGGACTGGGCCAGGAAGGCAGGGGCTGGGAGGGAGGTGGAGGCTCGGACCCTGGGCCTGTTGGGTCCCAGAGGCTTGGGCTGCTGCAGGCTGCAAGGGCCCTGCAAGGAGGCGCTGGCACCTGGGTGGCCGGGGACAGGGCAGCGCACAAGGTCCCCTCAGACCCTGCAGACAGCAGGGTGGGACGGTGGTCTCCCGTGTCCCCCACCCACGGCAGGGACGGCACCACCCCGGCTGCAGATGCGGACAAGAGTCTGCCCCTCCCCAGGCCTGGCCTCCCTGCAGCTTCCAGGGCCGGGCAGCAGGGCCCGGAAAGGAGGCCCTGAGTGCTGCAGCAGAGCTCCAGGGCAGGCGGCGTCCCCGCAGGGAACCTTACCTGAGTGAGGTCCTCACCACGGCCACCCCATCCCCTCACTGCTCCAGCAGCCGGCACTGCGGCAGCTTCCTGTCACCACTCACATCCCTCACATCCGCCGCCGGACAGGCCCGCCTGAGTGGGGAGAGCAGAAGGGCACAGACAGACAACGTCACGGCTGGGCGTGGCGGCACACACCTGTCATCCCAGCACGCTGGGAGGCTGAGGCAGGAGGGCCGCCAGTTCAAGCCCTGCCTGGGCAATTTAGTGACTTAGCGAGACCAGGTCTCAAAATAATAAAAAAGGGCTGGTGATGTGGCTTAGTGCATAGGCTCTGGGGTCAGTTCCCAGTACCACTCACACACACACACACACACACACACACACACACACACACACACACACACGCGCGCGCCCGCGCAGAGAGGAGAAAATCCGTTTTCACACACACACACACACACACACACACACACACACACACGAGCGTGCACGTGCAGAGAGGGAGAAGAATCGGGCAGAGACACACGGAGAAAGAAACAGGCCGGGAGATCGCACACACACGGTGACACAGAGACCAGGGACAGCACACAGGGAGAGAAGGGACCAGAAAGCAGGGACCCAGGGAGCCAGAGGCAGACAGGCAGGGCCCAGACAGAGGCAGAGGACGCAGGACAGGGACAGGGACGGAAGGGGCATGTGCCCCAGGGTGGAGACGCGGCGGTGTAGAGACGGACTGGACAGCCCACTGCTGCCACCTGGTGGGCGAGGCGGGGAGCGCGGCTCTGGGGTTGGCGGGGACGCTGTGGTCTCTGGTGACCCAAAATCGGTGCGGGAGGCTTAGTGAAATCCTGTCTCAAATTAGAAAATAAGAACGGGCTGAGGACGTGGCTAAAAGACCCTGGGGTCAACCCGCATATCCCACGCACACACCAGAACAGCTGAACTGACCCATTCCCAGTGGGACCTGGAGTGCCCCCAGCTCCTGCCTCCTCACCCAAGGGCGCTGACCTTTGTGTCATCTGTGGCTTCCACTTGCTGTAGTTGAGCTGAGTGTGGTGGTGCACACCTGTAATCCCAGCACTCGGGAGGCTGAGGCAGGAGCGTTGCCTCGAGTTTTAGGGCAGCTCCGGCTACATAATGAGTTCAAGGCCAGCCTGAACTGCACAGCGAGACCTTGTCTCAAAAAACAAAAACAAAAGACAAAACAAAGCTGTGTGTTTGATTTATTTCACGTAATATTATGGTCTCAAGTTGCAACCATTTTCCTACAAATGACTCAAGTGTATCTTTCTTTTGGTTTGTTTGTTTGTTTGTTTTTTGAGATAGGGTCTCACTATGTAGTTGAAACTGACCTGGAGCTCACTATGTAGCCCAGGCTGGTCTCAAATGATCCTCCTGCCTCAGCCTCCCGAGTGCTGCGATTACAGGCATGCGCCACCACACCCGGTTTAAATGTATCTTTCTTTATGGCAGAATAGGCTCCGTGGTGTGTAAATCATTCATCTGGCGATGGACATACAGGCTGCTTCCTAGATGGAGCTATCACGAGTTGTGCTGCTATAAACGTGGTGTGCATGGGTTAGTGTGACGCGGTGTCTTTAATTCTTTCAGGAAGATACCAAGAAGGGGAACTGCTGTTAAGTGAAACGTCAGTTTCTAGCTTTGTGAGGAATCCCTGTCCTAACTTCTGCAGTGGCTGCACCAGTCTGCACTCGCCCGGAAGGCCAGTCCCTTTCTCCCTCAGCCCCACCAGTCCGCATTATTATTTAAATTAGTTTTGGTTTTCTTGTTGTTGTTGTTGTTTGGTTTTTTGGAGACAGGGTCTCACTATGTAGTTGAGACTGACCTGGAACTCACTGTGGTAGCTCAGGCTGGTCTTGAACTCACAGTGATCCTCCTGCCGAGTGCTGGGATTACAGGCGTGCGCCATCATACTCAGCCATTAATCCTACTTGATCACAGTGTATGATCTTTTTAATGATTTGCTCAATCCTCCAATGAGGATTTTTTGGGAGGATTTTTGTATCTCTGCGCTTTAAAGAGATTGGCCTATAGTTGGTTTTGGTTGGTTTCTTTTCTGCTTTGGGAGTCAGGTGATGCCTGCTTCCAGGAATGACCTTGGGAGAACTGCTTCCTTTTCTGTTTCTTTCTTTCTTTTGAAATTTATTTTGTTGAGATAGTCTTGCTATGTAGCTTAGGCTGGCCTTGAACTCATGGCGATCCTGCAGCCCCAGCCTTCCAAGTACTAGGATTATAGGTGTGTGCCACCGGGCCCAGTCTCTTTTTCAATTTCATTAGAGTTTGAGGAGTATTGGTATTAGATCTTCCCTAAAGCTCTTGTAGAATTTGGCAGTGAAGTGTTGGGATGGGCTTTTTTTAGTTGGTAGGGTTGTTGGTTTTTAAAAAATTATTATTACTTCTTCCATTTCATTGACTGAAATTAGATTATTCAAGATTTTTATCTTATTGATTCAGCTTTGGTAGTGGTAGTTCATGTATACCTAGAAATCTATTCATTTCTTCTGAATTTTCCATTTTATTAAAATATAGCTCCTCAAAAAGTAGTTACCAATAAACATCTAGATTTTAGCAGACTCCATTGGTATTTTGATTGGAATTGCGTTAAATCTGTATAACAACTTTGGAAGTATGGTCATTTTCACTGTATTGGTTCTTCCTATCCAAGAACAAGAGATATCTTTCCATTTTCTGATATCCTCTTCAATCTCCCTTTTCAAAGTACTGTAGTTTTCAGTGTAAAGGTCTTTTGCATCCTTTGTTAGGTTGATTCCTATGTATTTCATTTTTGGGGATGCTACCATGAAAAGTACTGTTTCCCTAATTTCTCTTTCAGTGAGTTTGTTATTTATGTACTGCTTTTCACGTTTTGATTTTGTATCCTATGCTATGTTACTGAATTTGGTTATTAAATCTAGAAGTCTTTTGATGGAGTTTTTGGGACTTTTTATGTAAAGTATGTCATCCGCAAACAACCATCATTTAACTTCTTTCTTTCCTATCCTTAGTCCTTTTATTTCTTTTTCTTATCTAATTGCTATGGCTAACGTTTCCAGAACTATTGAACAAGAGTGGTGAGATCCTTGTCTTGTTCCTGATTTTAGAGTAAAAGTTTGCAGTTTTTGTCCATTTAGTATGATGTTGGCTGGCTGTTGGTTTCTCCCAGATGGTTTTTATCAGATTGAGATAAAGACCATCTATTCCAATTTTCTGTAGGATTTTTATTGCGAATGGGTGTTGGACTTTGACAAATGACTTTTCTGTAGCTATTGAGATGATTGTATGGTTTTTGTCCTTGGCTCTGTTAATACGGTGTATTACATTTACTCAATTGCATATGTTGAACCATCCCTGCATCCCTGCATGAATCCTACTTGGTGATGGTATATAACCTCCTTGATTTGCTGCATTCTGTTTGCCAGTATTTTATTGAGAATTTTTACATCTATGTTCATTAGGGAGATTGGCCTGTAGTTTTATTTTTTGGTTGGATCCTTCTCTGGTTTTGCTATCATGATAATGCTTTCTTCTAGGAATGAATTTTGGAGTGTTGCTTTCCTTTTGATTTCATTAAAGACGTTGAGAAGTAGCAGCATTAGGTCTTCTCTAAATTTCTTGTAGAATTCAGCTGTGAACCTGTCAGGGCCTGGGCTTTTCTTTCTTGGTAGGTTTTAAATTACATCTTCAATTTCATTGGCTGATATTCATTTACTTAGAATTTTGATATCTTCTTGATTCAGCTTTGGTAAATCATATGTATCTAGGAATCTGTTAATTTCTTCTGTGTTTTCCATCTTATTAGAATACAGATTCTCAAAACAAAAATACAGATTCTCAAAGTAGGTATTGATGATCTTCTGGATTTGTGCAGGATTTGTTGTGATTTCTCCTTTTTCATTCCTAATTGCATGGATTTGAGTCTTTTCTTTCCTTTTTGGATAAGGTTGGGTAAGGGTTTGTTAATTTTATTTAATCTTTTGAAGAACAAACTCTTTAATTCATTGAGTCTTTGTATTGTTTTCTTAGTCTCCATTGCATTAATTTCTGCTCTGATCTTTATAATTTCCTCCCTTGTAGAAGCTTTGGGCTTCACTTGCTCTATTTTTTCTTGAAGGTTGAGGTTCAACATTAAGTTATTTGAGCTTGTTTTTCTGGTATGGGAATTCACTGCTATGTTTCCTTTATAGGACTACTTTCATTTCATCCCAGAAGTTCTGGTATGTTGTATTGGCATTATCATTTAATTATCAGAAACCCTAATTTCTTTCTCCTCCTCCTCCTCTTCTTTCTCCTCCTCCTTCTAAACCGGGAATTGAACTCAGGACTTTGCGCTTGTGAGGCAAGTGGTGGCACCACTGAGCTAAATCCCTGGCCCTGTCTAATTCTTTAATTTCATTTGTGATCTATTGATTTTTCAGGAGAGTGTTTTGTAATTTCCATATGTTTATGAAAATCTTGTGGTTTCTTTCTTTTTCTTTTTCTTGGGGCGGGTGTACCAGGGATGAACTCAGGTCCTTGTGCTTGCGAATCTGGTGCCAGAACCACTGAGCTAAATCCCTGGCCCTCTTGTGGTTTCTTTAGTCATTGATTTCCAGTTTTATTGTACCATGTTCTGATAATATGCATGGGTTAATTTCAATTCCTTTGTATTCACTTAAGTATGTTTTATGAGCTAGTATGTGGTCTATTTGGGATAACATGCCATGTGCAGCTGAGAAAAATGTGTATTCTGATGTTGTGGGTAGAATATTCTGTAGACATCTACGAAGTCTGTTTGTTTAAAAATTTGGTTCAGTTCTGATATTTCTTTGTTGATTTTTTTGTCTAGTAGATCTGTTTGTGATGATGGGGTATTGAGGTTCCCCATTAAAATTGATTAGTGCTTATTTAAATTTTCTTGTCTGTTAATATTTGTTTTTTATAGTTGTGTGTGTAGGTATTTGGTGCATATATATTTATGATTGTTGTCTCTTCCTCTTGGATTGTTCTATTTATAAGAATGTATGAGAAGGATGACCTACTTTGTCTGTCTTAATCAGTCTTGGCTTGAAATCCACTTTGCATATAGAATAGCTACCCCTGCTTTTCCTCGAGTTCAGTCACATGGAGTATTGTTTTCCATCCTTTGACTTTCAGTCTATGAATTTCTTTTTGAATTAAAAAAAATTTTGGCCGGAAGTGGTGGAACATGCCTGTAAACCCAGAACTCAGGAGGCTGAGGCAGGAGGATT